TGAGAATTTCTAATTGTTAACTATATAAATCATGTTAACAATTAAATTGTTAAAATGATTTATATATAAATTTATATGTATATAAATTATTTTAACAATTTAATTGTTAACATGATTTATATAGTAAACAATTAGAAATTCTCATCGCTAGTGTCATCCTATCGATGCTTTTTATGTATTTGGGTAATTTAATTATTAATTGCTCAAAAAATATTTAGGAGTTAACAACTTCCTATTATAAAAAGTTCTATCACTAGATTACTATGCGACATTTAAGAGTGTTCATAGCTAAATTTGATTCTACTATTGTTAATAGTTATTTGAAGACTTCGAAAATCTTCCAAATTTGTATGTCAATTTCTATATGAATTAACATGCTCAGAATTATGCAAATTTGTTGAATACTGGTGTGGGAACAAAAGAAATGGTTCATTGAATATTCAAGAACATTGTTCCATGAACAAATTGAAAGAATATAGATTTGAACCTATTAAAGCACTATAGTACATTGTTTGCAATATGTCATTTACTAGATAGGGGCATAGACATGTGTTTTCCATTATCAAGAAATGTATTAAACTTTTCACAACATTTACAGTGTTTAAAAAATAATTGGTTTGTATTTGAAAAACCTGATAATATTGAGAATGATATAAATGAAGGTATGATTAGTTGTTTGAATAAAAATAATTTTTAACTTGCTAATTGTTTTATAGTCTATTCATTAGATGAATATACTAAGATTTCATTAAAAAAGCAAATTCCACGAAAATATATTGAGGAGTCAATACTTTCAGATTTAAAAATACAATTAGAATTGTTCTATAAAGATTTAGAATATTCATCTGCAGCTTGGAATAATTTGCTGTTATTCTTCGAGTATGCAAGTTTCCTGGTTGAAGAAAATAGTACCTCTACTTTTGTGTCTAAGTGAAAAAAATTATAATTTTATTCTAAATTAATTTATATAAAAAAAAATTTTGATTGAAAAAATTGTATCTAATTTTGTAATTCTGGCCATAAGTCACGTGAATAGTGGTGTACAGATAAAAATTAACAATTTAGATCACAGAGTCAGTTGCAAATTTTACACTTTCGCTCTTTTCTTGCTCCAACTGCTAAAATAGTAAAATTATTAGAGTGAAACAAACATCTACTTATTACTCTTTTGAGATATTGAGCTCAAATGAATTAGTTTATAGAATTCTATTGTACACCTTTTACAATCTTTATAATCTAGATGCCAAACGTTGATATTCCTTCGAAAAATGTTCTTAATTCTTGTTCCAATGCTTCTTGAACAAATTAACAGATATTAACGAGTTGTAGATTTTCTAACAAGCGAATTTATTAAAATTTCCTTACCACTCGACACTTTGTACCCAAAACGACAAACATTTGACGTAACTTCACTGTTGTTTTATTTTTATACTAATTAGTGTTCTTGATTATATTATGACAGATTTGATATAATGCAACTTGGTATATTGGGCTAATTCAAGTTGTTAACCACTTTCTTTACAACTTAAACTCGGATCTTTTCAACACGTTTATTATAGCAAGTTCATTAAAGAGCAGGTGAAAAAACCTGGATTTTACTTCTATGAATTATTATTTTTTATGCAAGAATTCATTTAATAATATTATTGCTACTAATATTATTGCTATTAATATTAGTATAATCAATACTATTATATTACCGGTGTTCATAAAAAATCTAGCACTCTTGATGCCAAAGAAGATGTTGAAGTTGTTCGTCTTTCGCAGTTCATGTAAAAACGTAGATTCTAATTCCAGATCTGGCCAAATTTCAAGGCATTGGTCACAACAACGGGCTTTCTTGAATAAGACATAAATAAAATTTGATCCGGGAATGATATATATTATCAATCTTTTTTTTTTTTTTTTTTATAGTTTAAATATCTGTAATTACTTTACTAATCATTCTATTTACGGTTTTATTACTTTAAGACTTGTTGACTTTATCTTGAATGCTAGGTTACAGAATTTCATGTTTCTTTTTCCAATCTCATTGACTTATTTCTGTTATAACGGTGATCATAATTTAATCAATTACTAATCTTATTTAAGAGATTTGAGTGAAAGCTTGTTACTTTTACTCTTTGGTATCAATCGACCTGAACAAGTCTACTTTGGTGATTTTTCGCAAAAGAAAACTTCTTAGTTGATAAGGGTTTCAAAAATTCAAGATTTTGTAATTCTTTCGATCGAGCCCTCTTTTATATAGTCACAACAACTGTGCTCTCCTGTTATCTTTCTAAGATTATGTAGAAGAGATGGCATAGTGGGCAGTAAGGCTTTGTCACAGGTTAAAGTTTCAATATACATATCTGAAGGAAGTTTATATTTCTTTTGCATTTTCTTTACTTTGAATGTATTACTAACCTAAAATATTTTATTTCTAATTTCGATCAAGTTTAGCTTTACTGTAAAATATCACTTCCTTTATATATTTTTATACTGAATCACTGTTTTTTCGATTCTTTCTCAAGTTTTTCATGATCTGATCATTCTTTTGGTTCTGTGGACATATCGTTAAGTCTGCGAAATAAAACTATCAGGAATAAAACATATTGTTATACGAAAAGTAATATGGGTTTTCACGTTCTATTTGCTGTGATAATATTGTACAATTTTTTATTAATTATCTATAATTATGTTCTTTCAATGATTACCCAATAGAACCATGAAGATCCTCTAAGTAATATGCAAATAGGGTCAAGATCGTATACATGACATAGACACATAATCATTTATCCGGATAACTAGGTAATCTATTATACTATATTTAATATTAGTTGAATCTGATATTATGTATATCAGAAAATATTTAACTTTTCTCCACTTTATGTATTTTGCATAAATTCGAAGGTTGTAAGAACTTAGATTTTCATGCTTTATCGTGTGGCTCTATTCATTATTTATGGGTTAACGGTTTTGGACCTGGATATCAACTTTCTGTATTTCGCAGAATTTCACGAGAGTTGGGAGTTACGAATAACAATCATTGGCAACATTTTTAAAATTGAGTCAATTTTCAAAATAACATCTATAGGTGTTATAACTACCGATCGGATATTTAACTTGTTACAAATCTAGTAATAGTTAATATAAATAAGATAAGTATAATGTTTAGATTTAAAAAATTTAAAAATGATGTTTAATTAAGTAAATTGTTTATTAATTTTACAATATATTTTATTTTTTTTTTAGGGACAATTATTAATTGTTATATTTTGAATTATTAATTCACCAATACTGGAAGAGTCATTTATTCTCTCCTAGTGGTTACTGACTTTTTCTGTTTGTTAGTGCCTCTATTCATTGTTTAGGGTGGTGACAAATATTATGTAATATTTTAGGAGTGGAGGGGGGAGCAAAATGTCTTACATCTCATATATAATATATATATGTACTATATATCAGATATACGTACTATAATGTAGATAAAAAGGATAAAACCCAAGTCTATTATGTAATCATATACGTATACTGTCTTAGAGTTAATAATTTTTTTACCATGCCGCAGACCCTCATAGTAGACCCTTCTCAATTTTACCAGGTTTAAAGTAACAGACCCGGAGTGGTTTGTGCGTATTAGTATACTATTGTTTGCGATAAATCAGTATTATTCTTTACGCATGTGATTTTTCAAGCCAACCTAATCAAAATCAAAAAACATGATCACGAACACTCGTAATTTGCATAAATTTTTAAGTTTTATTTTATATCGAACTAAAACAAACAACCAGGTACATACAGACGGTATATAAGCTAACCAAATATTTAATGACAAATATATACTGTAGTATACAGTAGATCTGAGTATAAAGATATAGATCCGGTTACAGAACTACGTGCATAAGTGCTACAAGAATTCTTACGACTTTTTCTCTGTAGCACACTTCAGGTCAGTTTTTTTTTTTTCTTAAAAAAAACCTTTTACTCCATGTCTGAAAAGCATTCCCTACATTCATCCAAATAACTTTCATTTTGTTGCAAGAGTAATAGGTCCAAATCTTCCATAGTTGCAGAATTGAAATTATAACAAATTCTGCAACTGATTCTGAAATTTCTGGTTCTTTTCTAGCCTTTCTATGGTTAGATGAATGCTGTAAACGTTTATGCTTTGCTACATATGATAGAGTAGAAAAATACTTATAGCAAATTGAGCAGCAAAGTCGAGAATACATTGTTTGGTTAATGGATGGACAATGTTCATCATAATCGGGAACTTTAAATCGCTCAGAATATTGGAGAAGGTGAACAGGATTAATATAGTGACCATCTCGAGCTTTGGTAACAGGAAGAAGAAACCCATCAAAGGGTTGAAGAAAATCCATAGCTTCTTGTACTCTAGTAGGTCCACAGCAACTCAAATTGGTGCAACGTTTAATATCGATCAAATATTGACATAAACTACAATGTTTTTCTATCCAGGACCACAGAACGGAAGTATTAGTAGATTTATTAAAATCTTGTTCTTTTTTATTATCAAAATTCCGTTGATTTAATTTTTTCTCCTCCTTTTTAACATTATTATCCTCTTCCTCACAGATAAATATAATATCCACAAACGGATTAGTTATTTTATCAATGTATGTTGCTTTTACATATTTTCCAAAAATTGGGTCCCAACTCCATATGTTACACAATATAGAACTGGCATAATGAAAATTTTTAGTTGCTAATTCATCATCAACAATTCTACCCTAACTATCAAGGTGCTTTCCAAAATGATCTATCGGCAAAACAACTCCAGCCAACTTACCAGAAAGTGTAGCTATTCCTCTTTCGACTAGGTTATACTTTGATTGTCCTGGGGCATGTATACGTACTGACAAGTAATCAAGATCAAATTTTTTAAAAATCTTGCAATATGATTCAATATTTTTAAGGTGCCTGGGATTCTCATCAGGTCCATTATCAACTAATAACACCCAAATCGGTTTTATTTCACCATTTATTTTTAATATTTCAGAATATTGATTATCTAACACAAGACTAAAAAGATCCTCCATGTGGGTAATAGATGATGTGCCAATTGACCATTGAGGCCTAACGACGATTGAAACTTGTCCTGTTCGAAAATCATCATTAGTTTCACTCGGTTTAATCATTAAATAGACTAAAGGAATTAGTTTTTGGCTACTTCCATATACGAAATCATGATCGGGCAATTGGACTGGTTGAGAGGAAGATTGTAAGGTATGAAACATTCTACCAACAGCAGCTACCCCTAAACCTATCTTCGCCTTATCATCTTGTGAGATGATTACAGAAAAATCAGCAAAGGTTTGTACAAATTGTCTTACACCCTTTACAGAAGCAAGACAATAGTGGCTATCAGGATGGTACTTTGTTTCATCACGCGAAACTGCAGCTACAGCTACCCAGGCGGGATAATGATGCGCCTTTGCTGCAAGTGAGTTGGAACGACAAGGCAAAAGGTAGTTGTTTAGGGTTGTTCTTGCCATATAGATGCCATAGTTTTTTTCAAGATTTTCTCTTAGATGATTCACAATTCTTACTTTAATTGCTTCTTTACGTCTTTGTGTATCTGCTGATCCGGAATCATGAATATGTTCCAGTAAGTCTGGGTTCTGAAGTAAGTATGATAGTCTACCATGTTTGTCATACCGAACTACCTCTTGTTGTTCTTCTAATGCTTTAACTTTTTTAGAACGACATTTGAACTGATAATTGGCATTTCTTTTTAATTTTAGCAATGTTTCTTTATGTGATTGAATATCAGTTTTTAGACTTGTGATTCTGCTATGTAAGTCACGTCGAAGTTGTGAATCAGAGGTAAAGTTATATACTTGTTTTAGCTCTTTGAGTTTTGTTTTGGCAGCCTCTATAGAACAAGCTACCCGTTTTTGTACTGGTGCATTATTCAGAATTTCTTGTTCTACAGGAATTGCTGTCACAGCATGAGAACTACTGATAGTAATTCTGGAATAGTTGTTCTTTGAGATAAAACAGTAGACCCGATGAATCCTTTTAATTTAATAGATGTAGCTAAGTATCCTTTTATTATATCATCGATTTTAGTTTTCTCAAACATTTTAATATTTTTCCACTCCTTCGCAGCAGTATCACATATAGATAATCGACTTGGGATCAGATTTTCATTTTCTACCATGAAATGGTATGCAAATGCATTAGTAAACTGCTGATATTTAGTATTTGGAGATTTGTATATGTAAGTTTTATCGAACTTGGGATTAGAAATAAAAGTTTGTCGACTCATTATATTTAAAATAAAATGAGAATAATGAGTTATGAAAAACTGATCAAATTTATCTAATTATATAAATAATCTTTTTACAGAAGTTCAATGTATTTATTAAGATTTATATAGAATATATTGCATAATTTGCAGCTGAACTTGCGCTATACAATGTGAGTTCTTCTTTATTTTGTGTATAACCAATATATCTTATTTAATTAATTTTCTCAACTAACTTATACCACACAATCTACTTTACAATTTTACTTATTATACTAAATTCGTGTCTCAATCAAATTTGCATAATTTGATTTATTATTGTATCTAATCAAATCTTTGATTTTGATACCATTTGAATTTCCTCATTGAAATGATTCAAATCATCAACAAGAATTGATCACTAGATTATAAGATATTGTTACTGTTGTTTGGGAGAGCGTAGGCTATAAAATGGTCGATTTAGCTCCAACAATAAATGTGGAGGGTTATAAATATCGTTCGTTCGGATATAGGCACGTGTTAAAAGTCACAAGATATGTGGGTGGGATCAGTCA